CAAACTATTGTGAATTTGGTAAAAAATGAAAAATATGGGTTGGGGTTTTATCATCATGTTTGATGTTTGAGTGAGAATTTGAAAATTGGATGAAAGAGGGTGCTTGAATCCTAATTAAAATATTTTATATTTGATAGAATCTTATTTTTTGATAAAGATAATGATTATATTTGTGTAAAAGATTTTATATTTAAGTAAAAAAGTTATATATATGATACTATGTTATGATTAATACATTATTAATTTGAACAAAAATGAAAATCTTGTAATATAATTGATTATGGATGAATGTTGTTCTTGTATTATAGTTGTGAATTTATTTAAAAAGTGTAGCAATTGCTTTGGGTTTGTTTCCATTTATTGAATGATCGAATATTGCGATAGATCGAGAGCAAAAAAGAGGCCAGGACCGACATAGCACCAGGGATTGCTTTTTGGAGGTTCAAAGTGTTAGTTAAAGCTTTAGAAAATTTTCAGAGTTTGTTTGGGATCAATTATATTTTTACTTTTTGTTTTTTTTTTTCCTTGGGTTTAAAAACAAATTTGTTTGACTTGTTTTTTTCATGTTTTTATTTTTGCTTCTAAAAATAAATAAATATGTTTTTGAAAACACTTAAGACAACTTTTGGATATTTTTAGTATTTCAAAAACAGTCATATCTTAATCAAGCATACCAAATATGATTGGTTTCAATCAAAACATAAACCAAACAAGATAAAAATATATATTTATATAATAAAAATCAAACGTGATTCCAAAGAGCGCCTTAGGAATCACTAATTTCTCTTTCTTAACATTTACTTAGAAGTTATGAAAACATGGCATATTTATAAGCTATCGTAGTGATTTTTTGTCTTCTTTATCAATATCTACCATATCAATTTTTTGTATTGAATTGCTCAAATAACTTCATATATTTTTGAAAGTGTAAAAATGATTCCGACTTGTTGTTGGCCCTATAATCACATTTAAGCCAAAGTAGGGCTTGACAGTCACACTGATAGTAGTGAAGCCTCCAATACACAAATGGAGGGCATTTTTTAAAATCCATCAATGCCACAAGTGCAATAGAGTTAATGAATTTATGATTTATTGATTGAATCATTTAGAATAAAGCATGCATTATAAGCCATTTATTATCATCACCAAACTTTGTGAAGATTGAGTACAAGCTTTTTTTTTTTTCTTAGATTTGTTTATTTTGATGAAGGTAACTCAAATAATTCACAAATTAATGGTTTTGGAGTAGTAGAATTAACAAGTTTCCAATTAAGGTGAAATATTGTCAATTTTTAGAGCATTCCAACTGTTAGCGCCCCTTTCAACTATGGTCGGAAGGCCTTCTTAGCACTCAACCTCTTCAGACCCCCTTTCTAAATCCCTTTCTCTTAAAGAAGCAAAGGATGAAAGAAAATGCTGAAAGGGAAAAAAGTAAGAAGGAAAAATGAGTTGAAACAAAGATATTAAGTAAAATCATTTTAACATAAATTGAAGAAGAGCAGTCTAAAATAAATTAGACTATACTTGACCCGAGAAAATATAGGAGAAAGATCCTATAAAAAGTCAATCATAACTAAGCCAGAATAAAAAATTAAATTTATTTTGTTTTGGGCTTAAGGAGATCTTCCACTAGGACATAAATCAGGCTACAAAGATTTATAATCAATTAAATTATTAATTAAAAAATTGAATAAAATAAATTAATGTGTTAATTGAACTTATAAACTATGCTCCACCTTATTAGACTTGGTTTTATGCAATAAGGACGCTAAGAAAATATTAGTGCACAAGTCTCAAACTAGGTAAACTCACAAAGTATCATAAATACACCACGACTAGCAAAAAAATCTATAATAATAACCATACATATAAAAATCTTATTTATGTCATAGTTGTAGTTCTATACAAGCATTTATAATGTGTTGCTTACAGGTACATCTAAGTGGCGATCATGTAATGCAGATGCTAAGGGCTTTGTTGCAGGGTCTTGACAGAGTCACCGTGTTGGTCCCGTTCTAAGCATCTGAATGAGCTAGCGCTTGTAACAATAAATGATGAATGTTAACCCATATCTATGCTTGGAATGATCATACAAGATTTGGTAGTAATATGATAATTCAGATTGTCCGATTTGATAAACTAACGAGTAATGCTGATTTTTTTTATTATTTCCAAAGATCAATCAAGGCTAGCTAAAGCTTGGCCACAGCATGTCGGCTCATGCACAAAAACATATAGAAAGAATATGAGTATTTTACTTGAGCAAATTAAAATGCCCTGTGCATAAAAATGCATAATATGTAAATCAAGTGTATGTGAAACTAAGCCCCAAAAGCATTACATAGTGTTGCCCTCACTTTTGTGAAGGTCTCCCCACTTTCTCTGGAAACCTATTGAATTGACCTTGGGGCTTCCCTAGTAGCCTTCCTAAATCACCAAAGGAACTACTCACTAACATGGAGCCCCAAATACTAAGATTTTTTTCCCTTGGGCCCCCTAGTTGAGTTGGTTTAGGGTTTTGGCTTGATAGAGACCCGGCTGATCTCTTTTTGGTAAGACATACCCTGGGTCACTTATGAAACCCTTGGAACCCTTGCAACCCTTGCATAGACCCTAGGAACCACCATGGCACTAAAATTGACATTGGGAAGTGGGCATCTACCCAAATTGATCACTGGCCTCACCTAAGGCCTTTCGAACCCCAATTGACCCTAAAGTCAACATGAAGGGTTAATACAACAATTTGACCCCAATGCTTGATGGCACTATAGGAGACCATACCAAATTGGTTCCAACCCAATTTTGAGTCAATTTTTGACCAATTAACCCCATTACCACAAAATTAAGCCCCACTCCAGGTGATAAAGCATCAAACCACCTAAGGGTCAAATTGGCACCATGAGTTCAAGCCCCATAATTCACCTAATTAATTAATTAGGTAAATTATAAAAGCCTATTGGGCTTAAATTCTTGTGCTAAGTCTAAACACACCTAGGCTAGCCTTAAATCCAAAAACCCAAGCACATGTAACTTCACTACCACTCAATTCATGAAGTAATATTTATTCCAAAATAATATCAAATCAACCTTCATTAGAGTCGTCTCCTAGGGATTCTGAATCTTCCTCTAGTTTTAAGGTGGGCAGGGTTCTCTAGACATTGACAACTTTCTTCACAAAAAACCCCCTTCAATATATGTGGTCAGGAGACTCCAACTTTTCTCCATGAAGAATTTACTCTATAATGCGCAGTGGGGAGTCACCGTTCTTTATCGATGTATAATTTCATGAAGAATCTACTCCAGAAAGCACAACAGAGATAGTCCAACTTTTCTTCACAAAAGTTTCATATAGAATGCATGACTGGGAAATAGGGAGACCCCCTCCGAAATGCACATAGATGAGACACCAATTCTTTCTCCCATTTCTGGTTTATTTATAGGCTAAAATGTCCAAAAAAAAAATAACAAAATAGGTAAAATCCAAGTTTTCCTTCTTACCCTACTTCCTCTATTCGATTCAGTTCATTTTGACAATCGAATTGTGTTTTAACGTGAATCCATGCAATCTGGAGCATTAATGATCCAATTCAGCTCCCACTCTCAGTCTCATGGCAACACCACGATATTGTTGATGTGGCAATCTCGTTGTTACCCTTGGATCAAATCATACGGATCACTGACAAACCCAACATCGTTCGACATGTCGTCTGCAACTGAAGCCAATGGCTTAGAGGCATCCCACTAACCCGTGATGGCTTGGACTGGCTCGATTTAGACCTGCCAGCCTGACCCGCCTCTCCACCCACAACCATAAGCCCATTCGCCTCCCAAGTGTCAAAATGAAATTAAGATGCCAAGGCAGGATATGAGCACGGAATAACAGGGAAGAAGAGGGAGCACCAAACTGTCGCATATATATATATATACATACATATATATATATATATATATATATATGTATATGTATACATACATATATATATGTATATGTATACATACATATTTTGAAAAAAAAGGGGGGAAGGAGGGGAAATAAAGCTTAAGGAGACAAACACAATGATGCTAAATTTGGTCTAATTAGAGTCAAATAAAGCTCAGATCAAGTCATTAAATCATTTTCATAAGGTTTCAGTGCCTAATTAGAAGGTCAAATGGAGTCTAAATCTAACAAGCTTATATTCAATTCGAGTTTCTCGATAAGGTAAATCCAACATGCCCAAAATCGCTCAATTTTGAAATCATTAAAACACTTAATATCCACAAAATGCTATCCGATCGAGGGAATCTATTCTGGACATTTGATGAAGTGGCCTGGATTGCTTCTTTATTTTCAGTGAGGCCACTGTCAGATTCTATAAATAGAGCTCTACTCCTTCTTAAGAGGGGACCTATACCTTGAGCCAGAAGAAGACCAGAGCTTGGAGAAAAATGAGTCGAAGTCCAACATCATTTATACACCTAAGATCTGGCTAATACTTCATGCTTATGCAGCCTTCGACTATCGTCAACCGCCCTCTACTTTTTACAGTGAAACTCTATGCAAGTCCAGACTTTTGTTGCAAATGAATGAATCATCGTGCGAAGTAACAACCGATGTTGCGAAATCACGAAACATCCTGCGAAGCAGTGCAACATCACGAACACCGTGCTACAACACAACTCAAAAAATATTATGTCCAATCGTTACAACTTGACAAACTGTGTAACACAATCCCGCATATGGAATACAATTTGACAAACTGTGTAACACGAATCGTGATGTTAATCCAAAGGGATCTACCACCGGATGTTAATCCAAAAGGATCTACCACTGGTTTCCAACAGTGAGGCGATTAGAAACCAATTTTGACACCCAAATTCGAACCCACCGTTGACAACGCATCATTCCAGAGTTAAAGTGGGCCCGCTGAGGTCCATTGGGGTGAAAAGTGATTGCATTCCAGCATGTATAAATTAAAACCACATGCCATGTCAAAGCTCCAAAATTAGTTATACGAAGCTCATGCCATCTGTAAAACCGTTTTTTTCCTCCCTCCTCCCCTTGTTTCTCCTCTTCTACAGCACCACCGGCCGGCCGGAGGGGAGCCAGACCGAGGCGAGGATAGAGGAGAGACGTCAAGGTAGATTAGATTTTTAATCGATTGAAGCAATAATTTTCTCGGTGAATGGATTTCTAGGGCTTTGATCGAATGCATTTCATCGCTCCAGTTCGCCGGCCAGCTTTCTAAGGTTGTAACTGTTTTTGTGCTTTCGATGAATTTGATCGTCCTAGAACTTGGGGGAGGGCATTTGATTGGGACTGGAAGGGATTTTGATCTGCGCGGCGGTGTTTGATTTTTCGCTATTTGCGATTTGGCGCATGAAAGGATTAGGGTTTGAAAGCGAGGAAAGATGAATGTCTCGAGGAGCAAGATGGACGAGCAGCACGGGGATTTTTGCCCTGTATCTCCGAGGAAGGATTGGACGGTGAGATTGCTAAGAATAATATGGGGTTTGGTAATATTCACGGGAGGAGTTTTTTTGGGTTTGTCTGTGAGTTCTCGTTCCAGCCAATACTTGACAACGCGAAGTAATGAGTTTTTCTTTCCGGCTAAGATGTACACTACGAATTGTGAGAGGGAGAGGTTGAGTATAAGGAATTTTGTTCATCCGAAATATCTTTTGCATAATTTGACTGATGAAGAGCTATTCTGGAGGGCTACCTTGGTGCCGCAGATGGAAGGATATCCATACAAAAGAGTGCCCAAGGTGGCGTTTTTGTTTCTTACACGTGGGCCACTTCCATTTGCTCCTCTTTGGGATAGATTCTTCAGAGGACATGAACGCCTCTACTCTGTTTATGTGCATTCCATTCCAAACTACAAGCTCAGTGTCTCAGAAACTTCAGCTTTCTATGGGCGCCAGATCCCAAGTGAGGTACATTCCATCTAATTCATTTTTGGTTCGTTGCATTTATATTAAGTTATTCCTCTCGAATTCATAAAAGAGAGAATTTTGTAATTGTTTTTTTTTTTCTCTCTATTAACAGCCATGAGAAGTTCAGGGCTTTATTTTTTAATATGGTTATGTACTCAGAATATAGTTTTTTTCTAACGTAATGTTGCTGCAATCAAAACAATATCATGGCATTCTTTTCTAATCATTTATTAGTCATACAATCAACAAAATTTTTCATCTTTCTCTCAATGAATTTAAATATGTTGATATTTAGCATTCATATTACACACTAAATTAAAGTAGATATCAATTAGTTTAAAAGGCATCATTTCAATTGCATTCCCTTGTCAAGATTTACAAATAGCCAAGAAAAAAGCCAGTATTGATTTTCTAGTGCGTGATTGTTCAACCTTGATTTGTTAGTGTACTCACACCTCAAAGAAGGAGCTAACAAGAAGAGAAGAACATGCTCAAGGGAGAGGATTTCTATGTTCACTAAGATAAAACCAATATATAGTGTTTAGGAACCAATTTTTCATCCCTTGTTACTTGTATTTTTTCTTATTTATAGTGGAAGTTTTCTCATATATTACAAATAAATGATAATTATACATGAATACTTAGAGATATTTGCCTTATCCCCCTTTGCTTCTTTTAATGTTGAGATATAATTAATTATATATCGAGTGTGTTTACTAGCTTCCTAGGCTTTGCAATGCTTGAATGTTGATAAATGAATTCAAATTAAATGTCTTGGATTGAGGTGCAAGGCTACTAAACTTGCATTTGTTCGGTGAACTCGATTAGATGAGTCCCTCAAGCCTTAGGAATAATAAAAAAAATGTTAAGATAAGGACCTATTAAATGTCTATGAAAGTCCAATTAATATACCGACACACATAAAAACTCCCGATTAAGTTAACGTGTGAGAGGGTAAATGGTTGGAGATGCAGTGTCATTAATATTGAATGTATTACATTTACCCCTTCCTCTTCCTTCCTCTTGGATATAAATATTGGTAGTACTCCTATTTTGGGTAAAAAATTTGAGAAGTTGGAAAGGATGAGATGCTTGGAAAACATAGGTGAGGAATGGGAGGATGAGAAGAATGGTCTATCCTCACCTTATCCATTTTAACTCACTATTTGCTGACATCCTAATGGGTGAACTCTATGTTTGTTGAATTTGAAAGTCATCAACAATGTTTGATCACCTTTGGGTTCAATTGCTTCGAGTCCGTTATGAGCTTGGCACTATTCCTTTAGTCGAGAAAATCAATCGGGTTAGAACTAGTCTAGTTTATTTTTCTCTCTAATGGAAACGCCCCCTAGCTCATTGCTTGGATACTAAATTGTTGGGTCTCTAGGCTTCAACAGCCTTGCTCTCAGCGTACTTGAAAGGTGAGGCTGCTTTCATGTTGCCAAAGTCCTCCTATGTGGATGATAAAATTACGCCATTGAGGGAAAATAAAGATATAGTGTCTAGGGACCAATTATTCATCCCTTCCATAAGTTTTCTCCTTTTTATAAAAGGATTTTCAAATATATTACAAACAAATGATCATTACTCATAAATCCTGAAGGATCACTCAATTATCCCCTTTTTTCCTCTTCTAATGTTAACATAAAATCAATATTAGGTTTGAAACATTATTCTTTGACAACGCTGTATTTTGACTTTTGCTCCCCACACACTCATTGAGTAAAATTATTGTCAACCTATTTAGTCTCTGGGGCAGTTCGTCTTTGGACAAATACGGCCTTGAAGTGAGTTGGAGCTTCTTTGATTATTATGAAATGGTATGGGCCACTTTATCAGATTGATTACTTGAGCTTGATGGATGTAGGTAAAATATTTTCTCAACGGCCTGCACTTGATACTCCCTCATACTTGGCAGCTCGTCAATCCTGGCTTGGACAATTGAGCTGAGGAACTCGATAGTTTGTCTTAGTGTATCATCTGGACTTTGATCCTAAGTTGGCATGGCTGCATTTTAGCTATATAATAATCAATGTAAAGATTGTGATAGCGATATTTAACAATTTTTTTTGAAATGAATAGAAGATCGATCAATTTGTGTAGAAGGCATCATATCAATTGCATAATCTTGTCAAGATATGCACTAAGAAAAAAGCATTGATAATATAGTGCATTCTTTTTATGGAATTATGCTTTGATAGAAAAATGTCACTGTAAATATTATGATAGAGGTTTTTTTTGTCAACTATGATAAATAAAATATTGCTACGTTTGTAATGATACGTGGAGATAAAAGGAAGAAAAGTATTATTAATATTCTACAAATTTTTTATCAATATGGATCTTAAAGTTGTTGAATTTGCTTTGAGATCAATGCACTATAAGTTTTGTTTACTTTTTATGTATTCAACTTATTTTATAGTAATTAAATGGCTTTAAGACTCATCATGAATCCTAATTTAAATTAGGTTGGAATGTTCTTGTTGAAAAATTTTTTCGAACAGAAATGTGTAAAAAAAAATTATTTTCTATTTGTTCATTCTAAAGGAGTTTCTAACTAAACTTTAAAATTTTTCTATTGCTAAGTTTTTATTTTTCAATGTAGATCTGTCCAATACCCTTTCTTGAAGATATTAATATCATGAATAATGTTATACTGCTCATTACTATATGAAAAATGATTGTTCTTGATTCCTATGCACCACATCTGTATCTAAAGAAGAAAACTATTCTATTTTTTATAGGCCATGTAAAGGCTATGGAAGCATCAACACCATCATTGCATAAGACAATATAAAACTATAATACATTTAGGATTTTATTGTGGGAGTATAGCATTACTCTTAATACTTTATGTGTTACTAAACATTTTCTCATTGTAACGTAAAATCTCTCGTACGCTCTCACTAGAAGTTAATCTGCTAGAATGATGGAGAGTAAGTTTTATGAAGTTTTCAATGCTTTTATTTTGGTAAGCTGATGCGGGACTATTTGCAGTTAGCATTTCCTAATGCAATTAGAATTAGACAATGTATGCAGAGCATGCTAGGAAACTCATGACTCACATAACATAGACCACTAAATAAGTCAACCACTTATTTTCTGTAATTATATATAGTACATATGAAAGTTAGAGCACAAATGATAATTAATGATTGAATAAATCCAAATTAATCAACAAGAAAGTTGAACCAAGTAAAATCTACGAGCAACTATAATTTAATCACCACAAATAATCTCTCAGTTGTGTTTTATTTAAACAAACTCAAGAGCATTGGTTAGTCAATAACAAACCATGTAAAAAAAATTAGGTTTAGAAAGAATTCATCAAAGTAAAAACCTCCACGCGTCACAATGTTGTCTTTATTTATTTATCCCTTTTTAAAAAGTTGAACTTATGACCATTACACTATATATATAATACATAGTACACCCGGTGTGTTAAGTTGGTAGACAGCTGCATTGTCAGTTGTAAGACCCCTCTGACATGGGTGCGATCCCTACGAGGACGGCTAGCACATATGGGGAGCAATATTGCCAAATATCACCCTTTTAATGTGTTTATAAGTGTGTGTGTGTGTGTGTGTGCCACATACCCCGACCTATTGGTTGACATCCACGGTATAAGACCCCTCAGGTCGAGGGTTCGAATCCACTCTGGCATAGTTGGCCTTAACAAGTTGGTACTCGAATTGTTTGGCACTTTAAGGGTGACTGGAGGCTCGTATAATGTCCTTTGGCCTTTCCTTCTGACTATATATATATATATATATATATATATATAATGAATTCATATTTAGAGCTATTTTTCTATCAAAACATTGAGACGAGCTTTGAATACAAAGACCGTACTTGGCATTCTATTAATGAGATGAGTGGTTGTGAGCACTATATCTCCACAGAAAACTTTTGCATATTTTAAGAAAGCATTATAGACCTTTATATCCCAAGAAGATGTCTACCATTTTTCTCAACTAACATAATTTGTTGAGGAGTCTAAATACAAAAACTCACATGGATGATATCATTCTTTGTAAAGTAGGGTCTAAGTATCGAGTTGAAGTATTCATTTGCATTATAAGTTTTGAGAATCTGAATTTTGCACTTGAACTAAGTGTAAATTATGCTATGTAATGAATAAAATATTTGTATAGTTTCATATTTTTACTTTATGCAGAATATCCAACCGGTTCTAGTGTGATCATCTATGAAGGAGAAACCATTTGGCTCAATTGATGGTTTTCAATTTTGATAGTCCCTAACTGCACCGTGGATGATACAGAAAATATTTGAGAGTTTGTACTGAGATAGAGGCTATACATAACAAGTATGTTTAGCTAGTTGACATGTTTCACACTGTTAAAACATTGGGTTTTATTAATAAGAGATATGGGTGAAGCTTTGCAATATAATGAAAATTGGGATGACTTAGACGACAATGACATAATAAAATTTGTCTTTTAACATACTCAAACCCAACAGACTCATGAATATGAGAAGAAGATGGTGGAGAATACACTTATGTGTTAAGCGAATTATTTTCCTTAAGTATGTATAAACCTTGAGGCAATTTAATATAGTCAATCACCTTTCATATATCCACCACCTAAAATTGACAAGAGTTATAATGAAATTTATTATCAATTTTCAAGTCATGAGCAAACTTGTTAATTAAAAGTAAGTTGAAATTTAGTTGGGGAACATATAACGCAAAAGAAAGTAGAATATCTTTGGAGACTTTCACTTCTCCTTTCCCAATAATACTGGAGTGAAATCTATTTGCAAGTTTAGTAAATTTTGAGGTGGTGATCTCTTGGTAGCTGGTGAGAACACGAATGTCTTTAGTCATGTGATCAGAAGCACCTAATTTTTTTTTCAAGGTCGAAATCTTTCATTGTTAGCATGATAGGAGGAGGAAATGATATCTTGTATCATCAAGCTGGTAGGCTACTCCGTCGTGCTTGTAAGAAGCTTCTTCAAGCTGACAAAAGAGCTAGGGTCGGTTGATTCCCAAAATTATTGCAAGTCATTTAGTCAATCACACAAATATACATGTTAATCAAGTAATATACAATATTGATTCAAAAAAGACACTTATCAATTTTTCAGTAAATGAAGTTCAAGCTTATTACACCACTAAATTTAGTTTAAGGTTTCGAACCTGCAAAATTGAAAGATTTGAGAATCCTGATACAAAAATAATAAAGTGCACTAAGTTTTTTGCGATTTTTTTAGCTGTGAAAGATTCATACTATTGTGGCACCAACCTACTGACTCCTCGTTATTTTTGATGAACAGAGGCAAATTCTCCTTAGCCTATTTTTAGGTCAAAAGAAGCATTGAAAACTTTATTACAGTTAATGGGACCTAACCATGCAACATTTTCCAGGAATCCTTTGGTACCTTATCTAGCTTTCACTCTCCCACTGGTAATATTTCTATTCCATTACGTGTGTGTGTTAACCTATTTGTTCTTCTAATCAATATTTATAAGTCCTAGACCACAAGAGGACCGAACTTACTAAGTTATCAAATCAGAAGTAAGATTAACACATAAATATATGAAATTCAAGGCACAGAAAAATGTCCAAGAAAAAAACTTATGCAGCAAACAACAAAGAAATTACATGTCTTACATCACAGGATTATGAAAAAGATTTAGTTACTATGCATGAGGAAAGAAAACACACAGAGTTCCATTGAAAATATTAAGGAAAACAATATAAAAAGGTACAAAAAAAAGTCAAACTCAAACCAATCACCCCTTGCAAAAAGCTGCAATCCTTTTTGTCAATCTTCCTTATACAAATTCACACAAATCTCTCTCTCGCGCGAGTCTCCAAACTCAAAAAGAAAATAACCCTGAGAATTTTCTCCAATAGAAAACCAACCCTAGAGCTTATAAAGACTCCTAAAACCATGGAAAACAACCAGCCTCCATATCCCCAGAGTGCCTTAAATCATCTCTCAATGCTACTTAAATAGGTTGATCTTCAAACTGCCCCCAATTTCTTGCCTGAACTGTCATGTGATAGAACCCGACATAAGTACATCCAATAGTGGTGTAACTATGTTGGGTGCTAGCTTAGTTATGCCTCGGTGTGGTGTAATTACACTACTCTCTTTATTTTGTGAGTGTGTTGGCACCATTCGATACAGAGTACCTGTCATGACTATATCATGGTGCAGCGTAGTTATGTCGATCTCCTTTCTATTTCAATCTTCATACTCTGGCTCCTTGAAGCATGTTCAACACCTGTTAACCCAAAACTTGGCAAAAAGACCTTAGAAGATTGTAAAATCATCATAATAAAGACATAAAAAATGGGATTTATGTAGAAAAATTACCACAATTTTAACTCACATCAATTCTCCTAAACTTACATATTACTTGCTCTCAAGTTATCTCATATTTAAACTTGGACTTAGTTAAATGATTTTTATAGCTCTCATGTGGACTTTCTGATTTTCTAACAAGACTATATAATGCATAATAAAGAATGTGCACACGTCATCTTAGGGTTAAATTTTCAATAATTTCTAATAGTCTAGCCTTTTCTTTAGTTCACTTCTTTCATAGCCTAAGCATATCTCAAAGTAATTAATCCAATGTGGTTAAAATATTTTCATTATTTAGATGTATTTTCATATGAAAAGATGAAAAAATCTCTCGAGTGAACCCTAAGAAGAAGCTCTTGAGCTCTAAAGACTCTCCTTAGCCGTAGAAGCAAAGCCCCCAAGGCCAAAAGTCAACCCTACTTAGTGACAAGATATCTTATGGACTAATAGATGATCCTAACACCACTTCCCTTGATGTCATGGGAACTAGGTTCAAATTCCAACAATTACAACTCAAGCTAGACGAACAACCAAAAATTTAATTGAAACAATAATAACTCTTGTAGTGTAAATCTCTTACAATGATTTGATAAAATTATGTGTTTGATTTGAAAAATTATAAATATAATGTAAAGTTTGAATGAATTTGAACTTTATACCACAATTCACTTTGGGTGAATTTAGAATTTGGTCAATTTTCCTGAACTTGAATTACACTTGTAAAATATTATAGGCAAGTCGCTGCTACCCAACATCGCTTGCAACCCGCCGCCACCAGCCCGTTGTTCCTGCCACTCGCCTCCCGCAACCGTCGACGCCGCTTTTCTACCCCCCGCTACCACCAGCAGCCCCTATCGTTGTCTGCCGCCCGCCCACCCACCACTGTTGATGTTTGCCGCAGCCCGCTACCACTAGCAGCCCCTACCCTTGCCCTTCGCCCGCCCGCAATGGCCTAGGCCGCCCTCTGCAGGCTATCCGCCGCCCATCGCCCGTCGCCTGTCGTTGGCCACCCTTCTCCCGTCATCGACAACCTGTTGCTTGTTGTCGGGCACCCTCCTCCCGTCGTTGGTTGTCGGTCATCGCCAGCCACCGGCCGCCCACCCACTTCCGCAGTTCGCCGCCTCCTCG